AGAGAGAGAGAGAGAGAGAGAGAGAGAGCTTATATAACTATTAAATCAAATCCAAGTTCATTTTCATTTGAAACCTAATTCACCCTAGCCCTCGACAATATTTTTTTTATAAAAGTTAAAATTAATATTCTATTCAATTCATTATTATGGGTTTAATTCTTGTTAAGTCTAATTATTTTTTATAAACTTTTCTAATATTATTACAGCAAGGGTAATAATATAAACATACATAATAAAAATGTCTATAACATCTGGAGCTAGGGAACCCAATAACTCATATAAATTAAATAACAAGTATAATTTAGGTGAAAATTGTGTTATGATTGTAGTTTCTATAAGTTTTATTATATTTAATTAACTAACTATAAAGCCGCAGATTATTCTTATTTATGTACAGGCTAATATTAACATTACTTAAAATTTTTAATTAAAAATAATCCGAAAAATATAATTGATAGAAGTCGGAACCACTTATTCATAAATACATTTCCTAATGTATATTTAACTTAAAAATTATATCCCTGGACAGTTTGTCAAAAAGTATAGTAAACTTTTAAAAAAACTTTAAGATTATTCTATATTATTGCTAAAATGAGTTAATTATTTAAAAATTAAAATATTTTTCAAATGAAATACCCATTGATAGCAGCAGTCATAGCGTATACGTTGCGACATATCATAGGTGTTCCAGTCCTGAAACGCCCGGCGCCTACAGCTCTCGAACTCGTGATCATTACTGACCCGTAGGTCACACTCGTTGCCCAAACGGATCGGTATCTGTTTATCCGTTTCCAGCTCCAGATACCCGTACACCCCATACCCACCGAGAAAATACGGTACGAGTATTATAATGAACAATATGTTTAGGTATGAATGAAAGGGACGGTATGTTTTGCACAGCATTTTGTATGAAGTATTTTTTGTTACAACAAAAAATGTAGTTTTGTTTTATATATTATAATACAAAACACTTTTTGTTACAGTTTTAATTCACTTTTATTTCACAAAATGATAATTAAATAGCGATTTACTTATCATTAGTCGCACAACACATACGCCTTAAGTAAATATGAATTGAAAACAGTTTTTGAATATTAATTGAAATTCAAGTTTTTATGTTTGAATATTAAAATAGTTTTTACTTTTAGTAATAAACTTATTTAAAATATTCAAGTATGTTTGCAATGTAAATATTTGCAAAATGTTTTTGCATTCAAAAATAATAGTATAATAATAATCACGCGTTACATAACACTTGATATACGAGTTTTTATTATTATAATAAATATTTTGTATGATTATGAATATTCATATNCTTGAATTTCAATTAATATTCAAAAACTGTTTTCAATTCATATTTACTTAAGGCGTATGTGTTGTGCGACTAATGATAAGTAAATCGCTATTTAATTATCATTTTGTGAAATAAAAGTGAATTAAAAACTGTAACAAAAAGTGTTTTGTATTATAATATATAAAACAAAACTACATTTTTTGGTGTAACAAAAAATACTTTATACAAAATGCTGTGCAAAACATACCGTCCCTTTCATTCATACCTAAACATATTGTTCAATATAATACTTGTACCGTATTTTCTCGGTGGGTATGGGGTGTACGGGTATCTGGAGCTGGATACGGATAAACAGATACCGATCCGTTTGGGCAACGAGTGTGACCTACGGGTCAGTAATGATCACGAGTTCGAGAGCTGTAGGCGCCGGGCGTTTCAGGACTGGAACACCTATGATATGTCGCAACGTGTACGCTATGACTGCTGTTATCAATGGGTATTTCATTTGAAAAATATTTTAATTTTTAAATATTTAACTCATTTTAACAATAATATAGAAAAAATCTTATAGATTTTTAAATGTTTACTATATTTTATAACAAACTGTACTGGGAAATAATTTGTAAGTTTAACCTACACAAGGTAATCTATTTATAAATAAATGGATTTACGTTAACTTATGATATTTTTCAAATGGTTTTAATTAAATTTTTAAAGTAATTTTAAATGCCTGTACATACATAAAATAATTTATAACTTTATAGCTAATTAATTAAATGTAACACATATTATAGAAAGCTGTAATTATAACATAATTTTCAACTAAACTATAGTTATTTTTAATTTATAAGAGCTATTGGTTGCAGAAACATAATACTTTTAAATATGTTTATTATTTATTTCTATATTATAATTCTCGTTGTATCAATATTTGAAAGTTTATAAAAAATAATTAAACTTCACGAGAATTAATCTGATAATAAATAATAAAATATTTATTTCAAACCATTATAAAAATATTTATTGAGGGCTAGGGTATGTTAGATTAAAATGTATATAAACTTACAGTATATGTGATTTAATAGTTATTTAAGCTCTCTCTCTCTCTCTCTCTCTCTAACACACGCACACACACACACTAACTCACTCTCATTATGAACTATTTTTTTATTGAAAAATATTATAGCTTTAACTAATAAGGTTAGCATAATTGCATACCGGTCCCATAGTATACTTGACCTAATTTGTGAATTTATTAAGCATTCACTAAAACAGGAATTTCTAAAAATTCACATTTCAATGTCAACTCAACAAAAACAAAACAATTTCATAACAATTATTTGTTTGTAAACAAAATATACTAAGATAACTATATTCTTATTGCAAATAAATGAAATTTTAAATAACTATTTATTTATAAAATGTTTTAAAATATACAATATACATTTTTATACCTACAGTACTCTAAAAGTGTTGGCGATTTTTAAATTACTTTACCACTAAATACCAATTAATAGGGTCTAGATAAGTTTTAATAAATTGAAACATATTTTTTTAGATAAATTATTTAAAACTGTAATTTTATCAATAATGATTTAATAAAATATATTGTATTTATTATTTAATTAATAATGGCTATCAGACAGCACAAAAATATTTTTAAAAATACATATTACGATCAATTTATTTATTTATATAGTTTTCCTATTTTATTTACCGTTTAAGTGTGTAATTTAATATACTCTGAAGTTTAAATATTATAATTTATAATTTATAAACCACTAATATTTAAATATTTTAGAATATTTATAAAATACCTTACCTGGTATATGCTAGCTGTAATTTTATAAGTTGTATTTATTTAAATTATAAACAATATTTATAATCAAAATAATTGGTTAACATCGATTTGACAGAATAACTTTATTTTAATATATTAATTAATTTAATAATACTAGTAAATTATTTTAATTAATTAAGTGATCTGCTCCCTTTACATTCAACTATCTACTTAATATTAATTTTAACGTTATTTTTATATCTAGTTTTAATTATTTAAAATTCTAAAAATATAATAATTTTACATATTTCAAATGAGCGGATATTTTTAAAGCTGTAAGCAATTTATTTGATTTAAATAAAATTACAACAAATTAAATTATTAATGATTATTTGGAGTAAATCATCGGAACAGTATTATATAACTTTTATAAAACTAGATTTTTACCAAATAGGTATTCAACCCAGCTTAACTACACCTCCTATACTCATAAACAGTAATTATATTAATGAAAATTCTGTGACCTCTTTCGCATTATTCATACTAATATTACTTATATAAAAATACAATATTTATAATTTTATTTATTTTCAATTATAAACTAATAGTATCCGGATAGTCATCACTAAAACTGATCCCAATCTCTGTCTCAACCCCTAAAACATAGGACGTTATCGACTGCGAGGAGTCGTCGGTATACGCGCTGTGCGATCGGTGGCAATACGACGACGAATACAAGTCATACAAACAGCGCAAACGGGAACACATCGACTACTTCGAGAAGT